CTCTCCTCCGACAGGCAGACAAGTTCAGCTGCGTCTGCTACAGCTTCTCCCTCGGTAAGTGGCCCCTCGCTGCCTCTTCCCCAGCCTCTCCCCGCCGTGTTCCCGGTGCACAGCCTGTCCCCGGCCTGCGCAAAGGAGCTGCCCCAGCACAGCAGCACTGAGGTCAGGGCGGGGCAGAGGAAGACTTTAGTTTCCCCTATGTGGGTTGATCATCCCAGAAGAAACCTCAGCCATGACACTCTCCCAAATGTTGAGCGCTGAGGTCTCATTTTCCTGCTTCCACCTTCATGGAATTTCTCTGGATCTTGAGGCTGTCGTTGGTGGATGGGCTTTGGACATCTTCAGGCCACTTTTGCAAGTGTGGAACCAGTGGTAGCCAGACATTGTGCATCATCCCTTCCATCACCACATACTGCATCCTAGCCATAGTGCTCCCCTGTGCACGTGCAACCCCAGAAACACAAACACCTCACCAGGCTCTGGCTGTGCCTGGCGCAGTCCTGGAGACACAGCCCATCCACACTGAAGGCTATCACACCATTCAAGCACCTGCTCTTTCTGCACTAGCTTAGATACTTTGCAGTCCACATTTCCACTGTGGTGGAAATGATGGAAGCTGGTTTTCATCCCATGGCCCTGTGGGATCTCCCGATGCTTGGTTAAGGCTGTGTTGGAGTCTGAGTCTGGGCTCTCCTGGTTGCAGTGCAGAAGCCGGTGCCTCTGCTGAGCAGGATGCCCATGGTTGTGGCAGTAGCGCTGGTCGTTGCACTCCTGGCACTGGGGATTTTGCTGCTCTTTGTGCGCTTCAGGTCAGTATGTGTCTCATGTCTCCTCCTCTCTGTGAGGCATCCAGCACCTTGCACTGTTAGGGAGTGTCTAAGTGGACACCTGAGGTGAGGTGGGAGGCAGGGCAGCAGCCTCTCTTCTGTCTCTCTCTACTGCTGGTCAATGGGCCTGACTTGCTCTTTTGCAGGCGAAAGTACAGTGGTTCAAAAACCTCGGAGAACACCGGTGCTGTCCCCCTGCAGACAGGTGCCGTATGAGCAGAGACCCCCGTGCCATGTCTGCACAGGCTGTCTGTTCAAGGCACAGGCAGGCTGCTTACAGGCTCTGTAAGGTCCTTACAGGAACAAGGCATCAGAGCTGGCTGGCATGGGGAAAGGGACACCTCCCAGGAGAAAGGGACCTCTGTGCAGAGGAACGTGCAGCGTTTGCTGGAGTCCTGACAACCACAATGTCAGCTCACTCCCAGCTGCAGAGCTCCAGGGCCAGCCATCAGGTACATGCTAAATTCCTGGCCTTCTGGTCTCTGTAGGTGCGTGCAGGTTGAACACCCAGATCCCCGTGGAGGAACTGCTGGAGGCTCTGAAGAAGTTTAAGAGGGCAGAAATAGAGGCAGAGCAGACAGAGGATGAATCTGTCGACAGACATGATGCTGGGCGTCTGAGGGAGTATCAGGTTTCATTTAACTTTGCTTTTCCACCTGGCTGCACTGTCCATCCAGCCCTCACCCCTTCTTTGCATGAGTGATGTCCTTGACCCAGGCCAGCCACAGAGCTTGTTCCAATGCTGAGCAGGCTTGTCCTTCTGCTCTGCAGCAACTGTCCTCCACTTTGCTGCACCCCTGCGATGCTGGGAAGGAGCTGTGTAACCAGGGCAAGAACCGCTACAAGAGCATCATCCCGTGTAAGCAGAGCTCTCCAGGGGCTGGCACAGGCACTGGAAGGGGCGGTTCAGGGTGCTGGGCTGGTGTAGGTGCCTCTCCAGTAATTCAGCAATGCTAGGCTCTTTGTCTCATGTTCTGTGGTGAGTGAAACCCAGAGAGAGATTCCAAAATCATGATGCCTCACTGTTTTATATCCAGTTGGAGAATCCTTGTTCTGCTTCTCAAATCTCCCTGCAAGCTTACTCATTCGTTCATCACTGTATTCCTGTTCCTGATGTTAATCACCACTAAACACTGCCATGTCCCATCCAGAAGTGGCTATTGGTGGGAAAGAAGAGAGAGTGACCTGATTTCTATCAAAACTTAAAGCTCCTTTGCGCCCCATATGGTGTGGACATTTGGCCATTGCATTAACAGTCTTCCCTGAAAACACATTGCATTTCCTGCTGTACCATGTGACCTTTCATCTCATTAGCTGTTCTTTACCTCTGAACATGTCCCATGGCCTGGAGTGATGCTGAAGAGGGAGTGGATGGTCTTGGACTTTCCTAAATCACATCCCCCTCCTTAAACAGTCATTTTGTTGCTGTCCCACAGAGACAGTTCACTGACTCCCACCTCCCTTCTCTTTCAGATGATCACTGCCGTGTGGTGCTGCAGCCCTCTGACACAGGGAATGACTACATCAATGCCAGCTATGTGGATGTAGGTAGCAAGGAATTGCTGCCCTGGGCAGGCTAGAGGTGCCTAGGTGGGGTAGGAGAGGTGCCTGGATGAGCTGTGTGAGAACAGTCCTGATTGCACGGATCTGCTGTCATGTGCTGGCAGATCTTGGGATGTCACTTTCCATGCATCCTCTCTGAGCTGCTCAGAGTGCTCTGGGTTTTTGTGCAATTCTCATCTCTAACAAACAGGGACCTGTGTGAGGTGACAGGAGCCACGGTGTGCAGCCCCTGGGTATCCAGTCTCTGTGCTGGCCAGGAATGGTGCTATGGGACATGCTGTGCCAAGGGCTCTCTGCTCTGGTGCCTGTGGGGATGAGTCATTTATTTCATTTCCTGCTAAACATTTAACTTGTGCTCAGAGATGTTTGAACCTCTCCCACACAGAGCTACCGAAGTCCACGCTTCTTCATTGCAGCTCAAGGTGGGTGCTCCCAGCCCTCATGCTCAGGAGATACTCGATGCTGCCCTGAGCACTTTGGGGACTGGGGGACTGGAACAGTCTAGGAGCTGTTAATGGCGCAGTCCAAGGCCCTGTATCTCTTGGGCCTCTGTTTTGGACTGTGGGTATGGCTGCTGCAGGGCACAGAAGGCCTCAGTTTGGAAGTGGCCAGCTGGAGCTGGTGTCTGCACTGCCCAGGGTGAGGGCACGGTCCTTCCACCCGCAAGCCTAGTTTGTTCCCTTTGGAGGCTGGCATGACAAAGGCAAACCTGCAAATGCCTGACAGGTCTGTGCTCAGTGCACTCAGAGACAGACTCCTTCCAACAGTGTAAAGCAAGATGCATTAGTCTGTCACAGTCTCTAATATAGATGATAAAGCCAAAGTGCTCAGCACCCCCTGCCAGGTGCTACTGTGCCCCCACTGTGCAGTGTTAGTCCCCGGGCAATGGGAAGCCCAGGGCTGCTCACAGCTTGGGAACAAATGATTTGTGCCTGGGAGCAGCCACACCCCCACAGTTTGGACACAGGCACAGGGTTCTTCTCTTCCTCCCCAAGGCCCCTTGCCTGGGACGGTGGTGGATTTCTGGCAGATGGTCTGGCAGGAGAAGACCTCGGTCATTGTGATGCTGACGGGCTTAGTGGAGCAGAACAAGGTAGAGAAACCATGGCAGTCTGTGCTCAGCTTGTGCCTCGGCGGAGCCCAGGCTTCCTCGACTGCTTTGCTTTGCTCTGCTTGCTGTACAGCTGTCAGTGAGGGCACCAAGCAGCTCCACACCACTGCTGGCCTGCAACACTCCCCTCAGGAGTTTGCTGGTGCTTAGCAGTCTTGCTGCTGTTGACAGACCAAGTGCGAGCAGTATTGGCCAGAGCAGGAGCAGGTCTATGGGGACTTCACTGTAACACTCAACAACATCAGGACCACCACGGGCCTTGTCACACGCATCTTCTGCCTGCAGAAGGTAAGCCTGGCATGTCACCGAGGTGTTGAGGCAGGATGTTTTTGGGTTTCAGCAGCTGGTGGGAGCTGTCAGCCAAGAGACTCTGTGGGGAGGTCTCCATGGCCTCCAGGATCTCCAGCACTAGCAAGTCAGCATTGCTATCACTGCATGCCATACCAGGACATCAGCCCAAGTTTCTGTGCCAGGCAACTGGTCACCTCCAGTGGTCACCCCAGCTGAGTCTAGACTGGTGATGCACTTGGGCAGACCATGCATCCCAAAAGGCATAAGAGCAGTTGAGGGATATAAAATGTCACCTGTACATCCAGGATGAGGGGACAGGTGCCTGCCTGTCACCTGGGCCAGTCTTCAAAGGGCTCATGTTGAAGCTCCATGGTCACTTAGAGCTCCTAAAACTGAACAGGTAGTTTATGGTTTAAGATCATTACATAAGGACATTTCTCAAGACAGGAACTTTTGCTGAAGTTATACCTCAGATAATAAGCATAAACTAAAGGAGATGCAAGGAGGGGAAAACAGATACAATATAAAGAACGCCTAGCTGAAAGGTAAAGCTCCAAGAGCACCTGATGGTGGGACATAGCAGTTTATTATTTCAGGCCAAGTCAGTGTGGTGTTTAGGGAAAAATACATCATGGGCTGGTAACAAAAGTGATCTCAGTGCAGTACCAGGCTAAGGAAATACCTTTTCTGGCAGAAACCAAGGCTTTTCATTGACTATAGAAACACTAAACTATGATTTTAATTTTTTTTCTTCCTCTGTGGTACATGCTGCATTTACTGCTCTGAGTGCATTGTTCACAGCATGAGGAAGCAGAGAGCAAAGTGAATTATGTGCTGGGTAAATTTGCCCTTTGCTGTTTGATGAGGTATAGGGGAACAAGCATCACAGTGGCGGTCTTGGAGGGAACCCTGTGTGCTAATGACCCCTTGAAATGTTTTTGGTTTTTTTTTTCCACTGCTTTCTACATGTTGGCCTGCAGTTACTTCATGCAAATGTCCAGGCTGATTCTTGCTTCCTTCTCCCAGCCATGTCTCCCTCTGTGTAGGTAGGCTGTGCTCTCCCAAGAGTGGTGGAGCAGTTTCATTACCTTCTGTGGCCAGACCATGGGGTCCCCAGAAACCCTGCTCAGCTCCTGTGGTTAGTGGAGGTGGTGAACAAGAGGGGTTTGGAAGCTCCTGCTGGGCCTGTGCTGGTGCACTGCAGGTACTGGGCTGGGGACACTTCCATGCTGGAGCAAAGCTGGCCAGGGCAGCACTGACTCCCAATTTTCTGTGTCCTCAGTGCAGGGATCGGACGCACAGGTACCTTCATTGCCCTGGACTTCCTCCTGAAGATGGGGAAGGCCGAGGGGAAGGTGGATGTGTTTCACTGCGTGCGGAGGCTGCGGGAGCAGCGGGTCAGCATGGTGCAGACTGAGGTGAGGAGAGTTACGGGCTTCCTGCACATCTGAGGCTGCAGGTCTGCTTTCCACCTTTTCCAGGGATGTGGGGTGCAAAGCCACACTGGCTGCACTGTTCATGGTCTAGCCACAGGGACTGGAGCTGCTAGATAATCTGCAGGAGACTTTGTTTTCAGTGCTGTGTCCAAACCTAGTCAGGATCCATTGTTTCTATGAGATCCTCTGAGGTGCCAGCAGCATGCATATGTAGCAGTCATCCTGGTACAAAGGGCTGACCTGTAGGCAAGCAGCATGAACAGGAGTCCACATGTCCTTCAGGCTTTCAGGATGTCTGCTTTTGTGGCATCTTCTGAGCAGCAGTGTCCTTCCTGCCTTAGGGACTGTGCCCCCATGATCTGCTCAGTGCTTGGATCCTTTAGAGGAAACTAGCTTAGGCAGTACCATCCACCTGCTTGTGGGAATACTAACTAGCTCACTGTTTTTCTGGGTTTCCTTCCCCAGAGTAGGGGTCTGGTCTAGGAGGGAGCATTAAACCACAGGAAGATGGTTTTATCTGGGCTGTAGCTTCTGGCTGTTTCTCAGAGCAGAGCTGTCTGCACTGAGACGAGTCTGGCCTCAGGGCCCCACAGCAGGAAGATGAAGGATAGACCTGGCACAGGTCCCTGCCAGTGATCTGGTGGTCTGGAGCCCCAGGGCAGCTCTAGTCTGTGGAGCTGACACGAGTCCTCATGCAGGAGCAGTACACCTTCTTGTACGAGGCGCTGCTTGAAGGCTTGCTTTGTGGGAGCACGGGTGTTCCAGTGGAGAGCATCGCCAGCCGTGTCCGCTGCCTTCGAGAAGCTGAGACCTCGAGGCACAACTATGACCTTGAGAAGGAGTTCAAGGTACCATCAGGATCTGGTGCATTAGGTCTGGTCTGTGGTGCCTCCTCCCTCCTGCTCCCTTCCCCAGCTGTGGGATGGAGATGGAAGAGCATTGCTGAGCAGTGGCTGAAGGAGGGGAGGAGCTGACAAGCAGGACTAGCTTGGCTGAGTCATTCCTACAGGCTCTACAGAAGTTTTCAGAGTTGTTCCAGCTCCTGCCATGCAGAGAAGCAGAGAAACCCAGCAACCAGCCCAAGAACCGCAAGCCAGGGATCCTGCCAGGTATTGCTGGCAGGGCTGGGCAGCCTGTTGCTCTGTGACACAGCTCCTGAGAGCAGCAGGGGGATGATGCTGCCCTGTTGCTTCTTCCCCCAGCACCATCCCACTGGCAGGCTCTGCCCTAGGTCAAATCATCATTTTCTGGTTTATAATAAGTATATATTAGGCTGGTCCCTCCATAGGAGCAAGAGCTTATCCCCGTTTCCTTCTGGGTTTGCTGGAGGCAGACACTTGTGGGGTACACTAGGGATAAACATATCCCTGTGTCTAATCTTTCCCAGTGGAGGAGCCCAGATGAGGCAACAGGGACCAGTCAGGAGGGTGGTCCTGCTGTGCCTCTGTCCATTGGGTTTTGGACCTCGTGTGTCAGGCAGCCCTGAGCTGTCATGGCCATGGGGCTGGTGGTGTCTGCTCATCTAAGCCCCGCCAGCCCCTGCCACAGGGAGCCACACTGACACCACGGCTTGTGGGGAAACTCCATGCCTCTGCGTGGGGAGAGGATGGTTCACCATTTCTCTCTCTGCCCCTTGCCTCCACAGCGGATTGCTTCAGGCCCATCTTGATGTCCTCACTGAATGCAGATGGCTCACCAGGTTACATCAACGCTGTGTTTGTCAATGTAAGGATCCAGCCCCAGGGGGGGAGTGGGAGCTGCTGAGAGCAGCAAAGACCCACTCTAGACATCACTGCTCAAGGCAGGGGTATATCATGCCACCGTAGCTTGAGGTGTCCCAGCCCTGGAGCTTTCTCAGAGTATCTGCTGTCGGGAGATGACCCCATGATCAGCCTAAGCCCTACTGCCCAGGCAGCTCAGTGGGCTGCTACAGCTCCTGGCTCTTGCCTGCTGGGGCAGAGCCTAGGTGTGATGAGCTGAAGGGGCACTGGGGTGCAAGTGTGCTCTGAGCAGGGCTGGGGTGCCTTGTGTCTCCTTGGGTTCTGCCCTGGGTCTCCAGAGCACTGGCTGTGGGGAGGCAGGGAGACATTCCAGCTGCAGGAGGGGCTCTCAAAGGGTAGGTTGCATGACTTTTTCCTTCCCCACACCCTGGTGTGTTTTGCAGACCTACACCGAGGAGGACAGACTCATCATCACCCAACTGCCTTTTGCCACCACGCTGGTGGATTTCTGGGCTCTGATCTGGGATTACACCTGCACATCAGTAGTTGTGCTGAACCAGCTCCAAGAGCTGGACGAGGTCAGCAGCCCACGCACAGCCCACCCCTCTCCTGGCTCCCCTTGGGGCCCTGCAGTGTGCTTTCTGCCTTCACCCTACATGGCTCCTCTCACGAGACCCTGCCTGCTGCAAGAGCCCACTGCCAGCTTGTGGGCTCCATCTGGAAGAGGCCTGAGGCAGTCCCAGCACCACTGAACTGCAGCGGTGGGGTGTCCCCAGTCACACAGCAAGGGAGCGTCCCTCAGGTTTTGCTTACCCCTCTCCAGCTGTCCTCCCTCCAGGAGTGTTTTAATTCTGGTTGCAGCACCATGGGTTGGTCCCCAGCAAATGGCAGGCAGAGCACCCACGTGCACTGTTCCGTGGGAGATGGGCTGGTGTGAGCACAGCCATGCAAGGTGCTGAGCACAGGCTGGGGCCGTATGTGATCACGTGTGTCTTCTCCTCCCCAGACATACCTGGAGTTCTGGCCCACCCAGGGTGAAGCTGCCTACGGACGATTCCATGTCCATCTGATCTCAGAGGAGCCCGAAGTTGGCTTCACAGCCTGGACACTTGGCCTCACCAATAGGCAGCAGGTGGGCTCTTTGCACAGAGATGGCAAAGTCCTTTGAGAGCAGCCTTTGCAAGAGGTGGGAGGACTGGCCAGGCTCCAGTGTTGGCAGGCTTTGATTTAGGAT